TGTGATTCCATGATTCTGTGATTCTGTGACTGGTCACTTATTTTAGCAGTCACGGCAGACAGAGTGCATTAAGGACTTAAATAGGGAGGAGGGACAGCAGGAGCTCCGTGTTTCAGAATTCATAGCAGCTGAGAGGCTATTTGAGTTAAAAAAATGGGATACCTGGCACCCCTTCAGCGAGTCTCTTCATGTTTCTTGACTGACCTGACTGTATGACAGGTGACATCTGTTGATTTGCTGTTGATAAAGAAGGATGTGATTTGAATCTCTCTCGCTCCAGTGTTGATACTGGTGTAATAAAATGACTTTGATTCCATCCATCCTGTGGAGGGCCAAAATGAAAAAAAAGTAAAACAAAAAATATTGCTTTTCATTAAATTAGAAGTTTTTGTAGAATTATTTTCCAGTGTAGGCTGATTTGTACTTTACCTTTTTATAAATGCTACGGAGATCTCGGTATTGCCATAAGGTATTCAGCACCTGGGCGGCTGCCTTGACAACCTTGAGTGACGATCTAAGGAAGTAAAGAATATTAACATTATGAGAAAGCCACGCAATTCCACTTAAAGAGGATGACGTTTCTGAGCTACATAATAGCCTAAACCTTGGCGCTGTGAAGCCAGGCAAGGTCGCCTGGCCAGGTCTCGACACCACGTGCGCGCATCATGCCAGCATGGGCAGGGCTGTGTGAGCAGCCTCGCCAAGAGGCTGGCACAGAACCTGACCGGGCATGACAATCGCTTCCCTCTCCCGCCTAGAAATTGTCTCTTCAGGTCACACACGTGAGAAATACAGAGAGAAGGGTTGAGACAGTGCCTGTCGTTGTCTGCAAGAATTAAAAATCCTGGAAAGAAAAATACCATTTAGTGCATTTTCATAAAAACTGAGACTGTATACTTTAAATCACTGCACAAAATTCCTTGCCATAGGGAAAAAAAAAAACCCAAACAGAGAGCTGATATGAAAAGTCTCCAGACATCTTCATAGTGAGACTTTGCTCTCAGTTTCATGTTGCACTACTGAAAACTTCGACTGGGAAAACACTTTGCCACTCTCAAGAGAAAGGCTAGAAAACTTGTGCTAGCTATTAGTAAAAATAAAACCATGTCATTTTTGGAAGAGAAATGGAGGGAAGCTGGTAGTGGTACTGAAGCAGTGATCTGACATCAAATGCCACACAATTGTCAGCTACTCTCATAAGGACCGCAAAAGCAGTTTTTATACTCAAAATCCCATTTTCCACATTCTTAAGCATTTTGAATGGAATAGAGAAACAGTTTAGGCAGGAACTTTGTTGCCTACTTGCCTGTCACCTCTTCCTTTTGTTATGTTCACCAGCTTCTCTATTCCCCCGGTGTCGGCGAGGGCTTTGGCATTCTCCATGTTTTTACTGGTGACCTCGTGCAGAGCACAGCAGATCGCGGCCACGGTCTCATCAGACAATATGCTTGGACCGTTGCCTCCTGGAAGTCGATTAACCAGATCTCGCATAGCATATTTACCTATAAAAACCCACATTAAAAAAACTTAAGATTTGAAGTTATAGGACTCGTCAGAAAACTGCCTCTGAAAGCAATAAAAAGAAGCACAGGATCAAAACCATGGAAATCTTCCAAGAATTCACATTTTATACAGAGTCAATAGAGACTAGAGATTAATTTTTGATGGTTTTTTTCCCCTTTTAGCTTGAAAATGTGAGAAGTTGGGTTTTTGCATTACAACAGGAGTGTCTGTAAACGGGGATTATTTGGAGAGAGTAGAATCAATCAAGGAAAAATCCTACGCTACTTATCACAATTGAAGGAGCGGTGCACATTCCTAGGCTTCATTTATGGGAGAGTTAAAGAAATCCTTAAGTAACTGGGACATTTTTTTTCTTTCAGACATTCTGTCCACCTTATTTGCTACCAATAAGAGATCAGATCTCAGCTCTTTCAAGACTTCACTTACTGACCAGTGCAGCTCAGGCGACTCTTTTTCTTGTTTAGGTTGTGCTGTTAATTGAACAACTAATTGATTTTATTGAAGACATGTATTTTACATAACAGTGAATAACAAATAAACTTTACACAAAGCCACTAGCTGTCTATTTGCATAACTTGCCTCAGGGAAAAACAAATATCCACAGAGGAGTTCTGGAGAAAATGATCAACTTTTCAAACCCGCTGGAACCCTGTCACCAGGGATGCTGTGCACAGCAGTGCCACCTCACTGCCGCTCCTCCAGCAACTCATCCACACGTTTGCATGCATCCGTCTACATTGTGATTCGATGGAGTCGCCAATCTCTTATTTTCTTCAGAGTTTAGACTGTGTAAATAAATGCATTTTCCTTGCCCCTAGCAAGAGCAGTAAAGTTGCAGAAGATAGATCACTAGAGTGGGGGAGTTTACGACTCGCTTCGTGGCTCACAGTATTTTATGCGAAGATTAGTTTCAGAGCATGTCTGGAAAGCCAGTAATTTTTTCATAGCTAAGGCTTTGACAGGGAGAGGGAACAGTGGAGGGTGCATTCCTGAACCAAAGAGTTTTGCCAGGAAGAGAAAAAAAATTCTGAAAAGAGCGTATCACCTGAGGATGACCTGTACATGGCTGGACTAGAGAACAGAATTTTCTTTTCACTGATTTCTTATGTGTATAATACCTACCCTGCACGTTCTGAACAAGGTGGAGAAGCTTCAGAAACATACAATAGAGTTCTGTTCTCCTTCCTTTATCTTTCTGAGCATAATGATACCCTTATCTGTATAAACAGTTGTTACAGACTTACCCGACTAGTCTACGAAAGGAAAAATGCTTCTGCAGCAAAAATTGAAACTTTCTTAGGTCATGCCCTACGTTAACAGGGCTTGCTTATGCCTCAGCAATGGGAAGCTGAGGGTGAGGCATGTTCCACACCCGCCAGAGTAGCCTGAGGTTTCCAATCCAGGCACGATAAATGTTGTCTGTTGTTTTTCTAAAATGCTAGTGGAGAAAGTCACAGACGAATGCTTAAAGTATTAATATTAAAACTGACAAAAGGGAAACAGTAAGCTTTTCTAGTGAGCACCCTCATTGGTTACTTAATGCAGCAAAGGCACAGATACGCTGCTCTGTATATGGGGTCTCCTGGACATAGTTTACTAGGAGAGAATTTCTTCCCTCTCTCCTTATCCGGTACTATTAAATAAAATATTTACTGACATACTGGCAGCAGAGCCGTCCTATCCTCTTAGGATATGTAAGGGACCTTGCACCTCAGAAGGTTATTGCTCAGCTCCGAGGAAGCGAAGTTGTGTTTTCCATCCCATGTTGTGCTGGCAGTTTCCTGCCCACTTTAGTTTAGCTGAGGTGACTTCCACTCGCTGCAAAGTGATTGCCGTGCAAGATGGCGAAAATGTCAATATTACTCTGAAAAGCTGCTGCTGCCAGGAAGATTAATTTCTGTGACACAGCTGACACGATACAGTAAATCCAAGGGTGCTGCTTCCATGGCTAGAAGCTCAACCCTGCGTGTTTTCAGCACAAGGTCTGACACGTCGGTGACCGCGCTCTCTCTGCCCAGCCCAGGCCCACGCTCACCGATGAGCTCCTTGTTGCGAACGTCTAGCGCCATGTTCCTTAAGGCAGTTGCCACCGATGAGACAACTCGGTCGTTATCCATCCTCAGCAGCTCCACGAGGATCGGGAGCCCTTTCTCCTTTCTCACGGCAGCTCGGATGTACGCTGCAAACTGAAACAGGACACCAGCTGCTCACAAATCTGCTACAACATTCTGATTGAAATAATCTCTTACTGGATTGTATGTCCCGAGTACGTTAGGGGGAATGTTTCCCAAAGAAAAGAGAATCATAGAATGGCCTAGGCTGGAAGGGACCTTAGAGATCATCTAGTCCAACCTCCCTGTTGTCGGCACGGACCCTACCTCTCGACTAGACCTGGCAACACACGGGGACCGAGCGGGAATCGAACCTGCGACCTCGGTGTTGTCATTGTTGTCAGCACCGCGCTCAAACCACTGAGCTAACCGGCCCCTCAAGTTAAATGCACATCTTTTCTAATACTATAGAGGGTCGGCTCTTGGTTCTTTTGCACTCATTCCTCTAACAAAGCAACGTTTAAAAAAGTGGTCTAACAGATAAAATATCTCAATAGATGACAAAATAATGAAAAGAGAGCAGTTTTTTCTCTTGTTTAAAAGACTAATTTTATACTGCTCATGACATGAAAAAGTCTTAGTTGTTTTTTTATAAGTAGAAGCAGCAATTAAAGTTTGGTTTTTTTTGTTAATCTCTCCATAATGAATGTGTAGCATAAATAAAGTATTCTCAAGTGATGCTTTTGTAACATATTGTATGCGAGGGCCATAAGCAAGAATGTATGGAAATGAGTAATACAAATAATAAAGCATATACAAACCATTTATTTGTTCTAGTTTTACTTTAACAGTACCTTCCCACCAGAACCCTCAGCTAAAAGATGCTAGAAGATTAGTTTGAACTAACATTCACTGAAAGCTAACTTTTTTTGTTCATTTTAAATAAATGCTACCAATTTCAAGGGCAGTTTCCATACTCCTCTTCCCATCCACCATCTCTGTCATTGCTTTCCGCTGTGTAAACAACACTAATATGGCACATAAGCACTAACAATACACGCTAGGGAGAAATACTCAGGCACGTACTAGAAAAGTATGTGATCCTTCCAAACACGTTCTGATATCTGATTGAAAAAACCCAAACTAACAAACAGCAGCTAAACTGCAACGACAGGAGGAGAAGCAGGAATTCGCATACCTTCCAGTTGCCCGCAGAAAGGTTCTGGAGGGAGCCGGCAGAACCCTCCAGAGTGGCAGGGTTGGAGCTTTCCGCCAGAAGTGTGAGGTACGGCTTCACCACGGACGGGTGCCACAGCATCTCCACCCCTTTGGGAGACTTGGAAAAGCCTGGGATAGGGCCCACGCCGTCCCACTGAGAAACAAACAGAGATGTGTAACGAGGTGAGAAATCTCTACATTTCCATTCACCACATGGTAGTTTTTCTTCAAGTGATGTGCTCCCCCCAGCACTGGCTAAACTACAGCTGATGTATCTGCAATGCAACGAAAACAGCAAACCTGATCCTCCTGTGAAGTTTTTTTTTTCTTCTTCTTCTTTTTCCCCCAGCAGCTCGGCTCTGAATCTTTGCTCGGCGATTCCTTTCCTAACAAGTCATCCAATTCATTGATTCCTAGCAGACGTGCCTGGGGTACCTCCAGCTCCAAACGGTAAGAAAGGTTTCTCAAGGTGCAAACACAGTTTTCCACTGTCTGAAGCCAAACCAGAAAGATGCCACGCAAACAGTTACTTTTTTACAAGTGATAAAGCAAACCAAACAATTAAGCAGAGGAGAAAAGGCATTTGGACTTTAGCACGAAATTCCAAACATCGCTTTGTCTGGGAAAACGACAATCTCCTGATAACCTCCAATACGAAAATATTTATAACAGGCATCTCTATTGTAGTGCCTTATTTTTTAGTATTCTGAAAATGAAAAGCACGAGAGCTTATTATTATTATTTTATTAAAGAATGAATACTTCAGCACTGGGGAAAATGAAAAGCACACAAGTTACATTGTATTGTGCAACAGAGACTGTACCTCAGCAAACAGAGGCTGGGAGAGAAGACCAGCTGAGCTAAACACATCATGGTGCTAAACTTCACAAGAAGAACCCCAAGAGATCCTGCCAGACGTACAGTTCAGCACGAAACATCACTGAGGCGGGACGCGCACGCACCTTGCTGTCGTAATCCGACGTGTTCACACACGTGTGGATCACGTAGAGCAGCGAATCAACCAACCCCTCGCACGACCTCATCTGCTTCCGAGCTTCCTCACCTGCGGAGCTGAGGTTCCTGAAGGGGTGAAATGATTAAGGAACACACATGCAGGCATTTTGTTACACAGCTTGTAGGATCTTTTATACAGCTGACTGGGAACCCAGAAGTTAAAGGCAAATGCAACATTTTCTGCAGCACCCCCAGTTCTTAGAGAAGAAATTTTCTAGTTTGGCATTTCATTATTTTCATTATTTTTCTTCTCATTGCTGATTGAAATATCCACAAAGGGAATAGTTAAACACGTCTTTACTGATATGCATGCATATAGAAACATAATTATTCAAATGTATACAGCAATAGAAAATCACCAAAGGCACATTTTTTCCCCCAAATAACATTCATAAGCCCTATGCACAATACAAAAATTGCAGTATTTAACTGGGGAAAAGTGTAATGATCGTAATTCATAAAAACACAAAACAAACATAGTTACTAGCCATTATAGTTAACCTCTCTTAGTGACTAAGTAGGTAATCATGTTTGTCTAATATGGGAAAAAAAGCGCAAAAGCCGTCTGAATGATAAAACTACATGCAGTTTATAGAATGCAATGGCTCTTTCGTCTTAAACATGACAGCATAAAAAGGACCTGCTGGATAACACAATTACTCTGTGGAATCTTCTAGAACAGCAAATTACCTCAGGCAGCCTGTCGTATTGCGCAGGACTAGGGACGTCTGAAATTTCATTTTGTGATCATCATCGAAGGAAGAGCTGTTCCATCCAGAGTGCGGCACAATCACAGTGTTCGTAAGGGTCGACAGAGCATCTCTAATGATTGTCATCTTCACGGCATCGCACGAAGATAAGTTCCAGAGAACCCCTTAAGAAAACATTTCCATCAGAAAGACTTAGCAAATATAAAGCAACATGAACCATTTCAAAGGCATTACTTTCAACAGGAGAAAGACAATTTTCCTATGCAAAACCAAAAGAAATACTAGTCTGAAACGATCTTCAGCGTTATTCCAACATCTTTGGCTAACAAGCAGTCAGCAAAGCTGCTATTAAAAGATTCACTTTACAGACTGAAATCACCATTTCTGCACTTCAGCTTATCCCGCTGGCAGGCCGGCTGGCTGCTGCGGGAGCTCTCTGGTCAAAGAGCTGGATGCGAGATGATAACCAGGGTAACCCTAGGCCATCAGCGGCTGTGTCTCCCACAGTCCTGAGAAGGCAAACACGCACATCAGTGGGTCAGTTTGCTCTCCTTAAAGACAAATCCCCAGCAGCAGCACATGCCGACTGTCAGGAGATCGTCCCTTCTTTCCTTCCGAGGCGCGTCGCGTTCTGCTGCCCGAGGACAGGGAAGTTGCTGTTGTGCTGCAGGATCCCAGAGGAACATTCCCTGCAAGCACACAAGCTCATCTCACTCGCAGACTGTCTTTCTGAAACACCCGTGCGTTCAGTGCACTCTATCTCCCTAATGTTAACACCTTTCTTGGATACCTAAAGATCAACCTCATACTGGCTGCCTGTAATGGCAAAGAAAAAAAAAAAAAATCAGTCTTTTTTTGTAGTGTGCCAGGCAACATGCCACCTCAGGGCAAGCTGGTGTAAACGTGCCATAACTGACACTCGTTCCTACAGAGGTCACGACTGGATTTGCCAGATCAATTCAGCAAAAAACGTGAGGTCTTGTGAAAAAACCTCTGAAAACACAGCAGAGAAGGCAGATTGGCAGATGGGTGGTAACCAGTAAAGAACAGCCAGTAAAGGTCCCAAGCATGTGATGCGATACAATTCTAGATCAGGCAGCATCTGGAAAGCCAGTATCCAAAAAGGGGGAATGCAGGATGAGCGATGGAGGGGGGAAACCTGGTTTGTGTGCCCCCTCAACGATAAATGCAGGCCGTTCTGCCTGTGTCGATCCTCCTGCTCTGTCGCCCTGCCCACCAGAGTATTGGGGACTTAAATGTGGAGCTGAGCACACGGGAGCTCATGTTCCTGCAGAAACTGTCTTCCTGGAAAAGGAGCAAGAAGACCGGAGTGTTTGACATTCACTAATAGCCCAATGAAACTGCTATTGATCTTGTATCCTTGGGCAGAATTCTAGAGTTCCCCACCCTGTTTCACAGTCTTCTCACGTGACATTCAGATAGAAAAGTATGAGATCTAACATAAACTATTAGCAGAACTATATACACAATTAGTATGCTAAACACAGCATTTAATCATCTTTTTCATCATGAAAAACAGCGTAAAATTAATCTAAATTCTCACCAGGTACTCATCTCACATACAGTGTTTTATTAATTGTAAAGTAATATAGCTGTGTTACAGTCAGCAAGAAATATTAAATGGCATTTCCACAACAGTCCAATAAAATTGCTACAATAAACCATAAGGTTTTTGGTTTGACTAGATCTTGCACATTTAGTTCCTCATAGATAAATTATGGGGGGTACAAGACAGTATATGTTACAAGAGTTAACAAAACCAGAAGTTTGTAAGACAGCAGAAGTTTTTAATACAGCCACACAAAAATAAGAAGTCTCCTGCCTCCTCCTCCTCCTCCCCCCAGGAACGTTTGTGGCTCCGGCCCTGATGAGGAAACTGGGAGAGAACAGCCAGCAGCAGCTTTCTGTCCTCTGGGGCACAATGGCACCGACCGCGGAGCCCAGCGGGAGAACCTCCCAAACTCCGTCCCACCACGAAGCCTGTCAGACTTTGCACATCACAGAATCGCAGAACGATTTCGGCTGGAAGAGACCTTCAAGACCATCGAGTCCAACCTTTTTCCCAGCCCTATCAACACCACTAACTCATGTCCTTCAGCACAACATCCATCCATCCCTTAAACCCCTCCAGGAATGGAGACTCAACCCCCCTCCAGGAATGGAGACTCAACCCCCCTCCCTGGTCAGGTTGATTCCAATGCCTGATAACCCTCTCAGTAAAGAAATTCTTCCTAATATCCAACCTGAACCTCCCCTGGTGCAACTTAAGGTCATTTCCCTTCATCCTGTCACTCACCACTGGGGAGAACAGACTGACCCCTCCTCACTACACCCTCCTTGTCAGGGAGCTGCAGAGACCAAGAGGTCTACCCTTAGTCTCCTCTTCTCCAGGCTGAACAGCCCCAGGTCCCTCAGCAGTTCCACTGAACAGCTATGTCAAAACCTGCCCAGAAGTTGGACTCCCAAGGAGGTAGCTTGATGAAACTATTAATGATTTATTAGGCCTCTGTTCACGACAAGAAGGCAAAAGCTCTCACCAGGACACTCCATTTCTCCATTTGGGAGAAGTCTTCGGCTGTGTATTTTGCAAAGTAGAACTGCCTATTATACAGCCCTTACATCTTCCTGTTAAAAATGAGAACATAATCTGATTATTTGTTGAGTGCTTATTTTAAGATAATCGGGACCAAATTTAGTGCTTATTAGAAATAAATGCTGAAGGCAAAGACATTTATAATTGGGGAAGTTTCCAATCAAAGTTGAGGAAAACAGTGGTAGGAGCAGGTACGGTGCTGATCAAGGCCAGGTCTGAGAGACTTCTGGGATTATGGTGCAGTTCCGTAGGTCCTTTAAATAACAGTGCCTTTTTATTCCTCACTGGTGTGGAGGCACACTTAAGTATTTAACTGCTACAAAATCATTGTCCAAGTCCAAAGAGACAGTTTGAAACCATAGGTAGAGGATGAATTTTAAAAAAACCTGTTTTTCAACAGCTGTTAGCTGCAGCTGCCACCATTCGGGAAGAGTGAAGAACATCCCACCCAACTCTGTGGCAAGAGGAGCACTGAGGCCATCGACCCACCTAGGGAGGTCTCTGCTGTCCCCAGCATCAATGGGTGTGGAGGGAGAGGAACTTCTGCTTGCTGCTCATTACAGTTCAGTTTGTGTTTAATTCAAATGATTGCTCCTGCTGGCCTCACTTTTCCTGCTTAGTCCGTGAATGCACTATACAATACAGCAGAAAAATCACAAACCACTACTAGTGCTTGACACTGCCTAGAGGTGAAGAAAACCTGAGAAAAGAAGGCTAAAGTTTAAAAGATACCAGCATCAACAAGCAGGGATAATTCTTAAGGGAGGAAGGAAATCAGCAGTAACAGGACCAGAAAGAAAGAAAGAAAAATATCAGTAAGCTTTGCAGGAGAGTTCAAAATGCCACAGGAAAAAGCTTCTAATGAAAAGTGGGTCTTTTTGTTTTCTTCTCTTGATCAGGTATGGCCTGCCCTATTTTTGCCTGAAGTTCTGACCCTTGCAGCATTCTCACATGACCATGCTAAAATACCATTTCTGTGAACACTGTCCAAAGCATCCTACTCAGGCAATTAAAGTAAGTGGCATGAGAACATTCAAAGTCTTATCTACAGGAAAATTTGCAGTTGCTAACATTGACAAAACTGCTTTGGTGTGAGCAATGGTTGGACAGTTTTGTCATAAAATTTCTTTCATACAAGACAGGGAATTTACCTTGATGTTCTACAACTCTGCCGTTCTATGATCTAAAGTGACAAGGAACACAAACCTTTACCAAACACAAATACCCATCTCCAAAGTTTTAGCCAGTCGATTAGATCTTAAGAATAAAAATAAAAGAACATTTAAGGAATATACCTGTCTTGTCAAAAAGGAATAAACTTTCCAGGTACTATTTAGTATTACTTAGTATAGAGAAACCCTACATGTCTAGCTATGAGTGAAATCTGCTAGCATAAGTATTAAGAAAAAAAGAATACCTGTAACCCTGATTTTACTGTAGACAAAATGCTTTTAAATAGATGTACGTACAAGACTCAGTAAAATACAAGCCCTCATATCAAGATATATAAAGAACTGTGATGAGCCAGAACGTTTTCCTCTAAAAAGGCTGAATGGGAGAGAAAAAAAAGAGTTCACAGTGCCTCATGGCTGCAGAACAGTTCTGTTCTAGCACCATCAGCTTCACAACAGACCTCACCTTTGAAGGTAACAGGTGCAGACAGGGCGAGGAAAGCCAAGGTGCCCTATGCTCTGCAAAAAAAAGGGCAACCAAAAATGTTTTCCCAGCAAGAGCGGTCAGCTGTTGGCACAGGCTGCCCGGGGAGGGGGTGGAGTCCCCATCCCTGGAGGGGTTTAATGGCCGTTGAGGTGTGGGGGTGGGGAGATGGGTTAGGGGTGAGCTCTGTAGAGCAGGGTTAGTGGTTGGACTCAATGATCTCAAGAGTCTTTTCCAACCTGAAGGATTCTGTGATTCTATTCTAACCAGGAACAACGCTGTTGGGTGCTTGGAGGATATTTTCCACACAGATTTGGGACATGCATTAACACTTGCAAATGAAAACCAAGAAAAGCCTCGCCCATAAACTTCTGCTCTTCTCAACTTAAACTTCTGCTCTTCTCAACTTAAATGCCTACTACTTTGAAAATAAAGAGAGAAAAAATCTTAAATAATTTAGATCCCATCCTTGAACCTGACAAGCTTTGGTTAAAGCCAAATGATCTGGACTATCTACCATAAACACTGGTCCAGTAAAACTAACAAAGTAACAAAACAAATAGCATAATCTGGACGAATTTTCTGAGGAACTGAGTACAGAAGTGCCTAACAGGAGCAGAGATGGACCAAACTGAAGAAACAAATATATATAATAGTCCATGTAGAGAGCTTGATTTAACAGTTTTCTCCTGAAAGTTTGAAAGAATCACCTTTTTTCTTCTAAAGGTCCTGGATCTGTGGCTTTAAGATGCTGGTCAAACTGTCCCTTTAATAATAGAAAATGGTTTTACTTGATGATGTTTCTTTCTTATGCAGAAGACACTTGGAAAGCACTTGAAATTTCTACAAACTGTACCAGAGCAGAAATAGACACACACAAATCTAAACCACTAAGTTTCTGCAACTGAGATTTTGGGGAGCATTTTCTGTTTATTTTTTCCCTATGGATTAAGAAAGTATTTAGAGAATAGTGGAGAAAAGGATTCTTCCCAAGAAGGAAACTAGTGCTAAAAGGAAAAAGGACAAGATTCTAAAGTATACAGTCCTCTCTTCAGTCTTTGTGGTTTTGTATCACTTTACTCAGAACACGTCAGGAGGTGCAAAGGCCTGTGACGAGGAAACGTCTGGCACTCGGGTCCAAACTCCCCAGGGCAGCTGGGATTCTCCCAGTAACACCAGTGGACACTACACATCTGATCCAGCTGTACGGAGGGAAGCTGGCCTGAGTGACCGTGAGCACTGCTGTGCAGCTCTGCTTAGCAGGCAAGTAATTAGGCTTTGTAGCTTTACAAAATCAAGTGAGGGAGTTACTGAAAGTTGGAAGAGGAAAGCAGAAACTCTTCTCTGTACTGCCCTCAATCCCCTAAAACCCTCACAGACAAACTGCTCTCATATTAAGAAAAAGAGCAGATGCATGCAGTACTCCACAAACCCACCTCATTTTGGTGGAAATGGAGTTCCTTCATGTGTTAGAACTGCAAATGGTTCATTGTTTCTGCACTGGCTTCACAGGTTGTAAGCTAAATCCGCTCCCTGTACTCAAGGAAGGAGGAGTGAGTGCACAGGCGCTTGGCCAGGGCTCCGCGCACAGGCTGTGCACGAGGTGCTGCGGTCATTTGCATACTTGCAATTTTCTGTCTGTACTTCAACACACATTTACATAGTCTGGGTCCATCTTACAAAGTCTACTAGATCTTATTTAAAATTCTTGTCAGCAGATAATTAAAAAAAAGCACTTGTAATAAAATAAAACTTTGGAGTCAATACGGAAATACTTCTCCAAGACCTCACTGTGTACTTACGAGAACCATGCCAGGGAAAATTTACCCTAAGCAGAGATTTAGTGCAACTACGGCAAGATTTACTTCTCGCAGTGAATCTATACTTCAATGCTAATTCTTTACCTGTCAGTAGCCAAAATAAGTGATTTTGTATTCACAGAAAGTACCAATACAGAAATTAAGACCTAGTTGATATACTCAATTCCAGTCACTTAGCAGTTCTTCCAGTCTCGTCCACTTCAGGAAAATCACCTGCATTATAATTCTCTGCTTGTTTCCATTCAAAACCTACCTGTTACGAGCTCTTTTATTTCGGCATCAATGGATTTTCTCAACAATCGTAAAAGGGCAGGTATCCCACCAACATTCTTCATTGCTATTTTGTTTTCATCAGTAGACTTCCCATAAACGAGGTTCCGCAGCGCGCCGCAAGCGTTCTTCTGAACTTCCAGGACTCTGTGGTCCAAGAGATCAACCAGGTGCTTGATTCCTCCTAGCCTGCACACCTAGAAAATGGAACAACGGGTACATCAGCACTCATTGATTTCACCCATTTCACTCTACAGATTTGAAAAGGCTTTTATTTTTATGTAAATGGTACATTTCAGTCTACTTCAAGAGGAAATATTGCTGGTAAATCTTCGTAACCCGACTGTTACGCTGCACTGAAAGTCCCTGGGAACCATCGCGTCCTTGCTGAAAGGGCTGATGGACATTTTCAGTCAGTTGCTGTGTCCAGAGAAGAGCTGTTCCTGCATTTGTTTTCCAGCAACGTGGTTTTGGAAGTAATTCCCTATACCTCAAGATAATTTTTTTGGGAATATTAGAAATAAAAAGTTGCAAAGATATAACTCCCCTTAGCCATGCACACACACTCACGAGTTCTAATTAGCATATAACCAGTCCTGTTTAAGTTCTTTTTAAAAAGAAGGTCCACTCCACAGAAATATGGTAAAAGAGAAAGCAATTTTATGTTGTTTGTTTTAAGCAGGTTAGCTGCATTTTTCTTTGTTATATAGTTTTAAAAAATTTTAACAATTTGTTTTTGAGATCTGATTTCCACGTAGTACTTTCTTTGTTAAAAATAACTTACAGGAATGATAAAAGATTAAAGTATTTTAGAAGTCTGTAATATTCAATGAATTAAAAAATATATTTTAAAGAGACAGCTAAGTGGTAGTACTTACAACATTAATTTCAGATTAAAAGTTACTGCCGTAAGGCTATCAAAATATTTCCTATGAACTTTTCTATTCTAGCCCAGGCAAGAGTTAGTACGGCAAGCCTCGAGGCTATTTGCAAAGCACTAGTGTGTGCAGGCGTTTATGGATTTTTGGCTTTAAATGTCAGGAAGAATAAAATTACTCTCAGTGAAAACGTAACTGAGATTTAGCCAAATATTTTTAAGTTGATACTCTGAAAAACATCATCTTCTCTCTATCTCATTCTGCACTGAGTATTAAAATGGTTAGTATCTTTATTCACACCACACCGCAGACAAACTGAAGACTTGGGGAAAATCAACTGAAATGCAAGGTCTATGATCAGCATTCCGTGTGATTTCACCTGTCAAATCCCCTCTTAAGTAGAATAAAAGAAATTAAAGAGTGTTTCAAATGTGCATTTCTCAAAAGGATACCTGCATTTACACACTATCTACCATGCAAATTATAAATCCAAGAGATACAAAGTTTGGCATGTATCCATTAGACAGGCTGCTGCTATGCCACAAGCCACCAGGAATCTGTCTCTAAAAGCATTCAACAAGTTTTAAGCTTCAAGTTGCAAGACTTCTGTAGCCAGGAAATGAGTATTACCATGCAGGTTATTTATCTGGCACAGACTACGCTGAAGGCACATACTGCAGGACATGAAAAATAAATAATAATTCAAGAGGTTGGGCTATCTTCAACCAACATTTGATTAACACGAATAATATTTACACTGAAAATAACAGATAACATATATATATGACATGAACAAAAAAGCAAATTCGTTCAATAGGTAACCCCTGCTCTGCAAAAAGAGCAGCTCTTCAAATGCAAAGAGTTTCTATAAATTTCAACAACTATCTGAATTTTCACTCAGATGTATCCCTCCTCCATGTCATACTGACACAAATACTGTCCTCTATATATTTCTAGGGTTGGATTTCTTTCCTTTGCCTGAGAGCTCACTCATTCCTTGCGATGCCTTAAAACATCTGGATCAAAACCAGTGGAAGGCCTTACAGAATTCTTGTTTTTCTTAGCTCCAGCCAGCAACAGGTTACACAAAAACAGGCTCTGGTAAACACACTTTACAGTTCTGCTAGATCACACAACTGGAAGGTAAAATATTTTCACGTAATTTCCATGCAGCCTCTCAGCACAGGAAAACTCCGTGCGCGTGCAGCTAGGTACTGTAGCATGGTCACACGTCTGGTACGGGGGGGGCAGAGGGTCTGGTGAGGAAGGGCAGAGAGAGGCAAGAGGTCCAGTTTTCCTCTTGCAGCTCCCCGGGGAGGAGCCGCGGCCGCGCACAGTACCTCCGTTTTGACTTTGTTGTCTCCGAAGCAGAGGTGCTGGAGGTAGGCGGCCGCGTTTGCCTGCACCGATGGGAACTGGTGCTGCAGCATGTGGATGACTTCGGGCAGCTCCGGATCGCGCCACGCGAACTCCCTGCGTCAGAACAACACGTGTTAGTGAGAGATGCGTGTTTATTTGCTAAGTAGAAGCACTAGACCATCTAAAGGATTTTTCAACAATTCTGTTTGGTTTGTTTTTCTGATCATCAGGGCTAGGAGGAAAGCCGGGCATACCAGCCTAACTCTAAGTCACATCACCTCTTAGTATTCCCAAGGGAAAGGGAACGCTGTATACTCTGTGGTCTTCAGTTGGCTTGGTTGTCGATCACACCTATGTGTATATAGACATATACTAAAACTAACAATTCCAACATGGCAACCTACATAAATCTCCCAAAACTTAAGCATATAACCCAGCAGATACCCACTTCACAGTGCTGCGCAGGGGCCTCTCTTCCACAAAACATTTTTTTTCTCAGTGCTGAACATTCTTCCTAGTCTGAAGTGAATTGTACTTCAATAAAAGCTGCACAGCCTGCAATTTTATCATCGTGATCAGATGCAGGAAGTTCACATCGTTTGAGATATTCAGGGATTGTGAACTTTAAATCATTAAAACTTTATATTAAAAATTTTATATTAAAACAAAACACAACAACAGAGAAGTATTTGGGGAGCTATTTGAGGGCTCATACTAGCCTGGCCACTTGAGTGTCCCCAGGATTCCTACAGGCACTAAAACAGGACGGCTCAGTTCTGCGCCTCCTTTGAAGCACCCAACAAGTCAGAGGTTTATTTCTCCAGGCTAATGAGAGGGCAGCTTTAGGGAAAACCTTTCTAATACAGCCAGCAGCAGCCGAGCGCTCCCGCGCCGCTCCCTTGTGCGACGCTTTCAGCAACCCAGGCTGTGGCTGCTGCAACGCGCCAACCCAGCCTGCGCAGCGGCACGAACTGAAACAGATGACAGCATGCAGAAAAAACTACTCTATGAGGAAATTACAAGATCAGAAGGTGCATCAGCAATGAAAACTGAGTCAGAACTTCTTTAAAGCTCCCTGTTATGAACATATGCCCTCAGTAATGCAGGAAGCCCGAGAGATTTCCATGGAAGAAGCCAGTGTGACTACTCGCTCTGTTTTCTCAAAGGTCGTTTGGTGCCCTCATGCACAGGAAAGTCTTGGGAGGCGCCCAACCCTCAGCACAGGCACTCTGCTTTGCGCTCCTGCTAAACCAGCAGGACCTGTCACAGCTGCTCGTGACCACGGAGCGTCTAGAAGCTGCCTCCATGAAGTGGTTGTCGGGGGAAGGACCAGAATTTCTAGCGACCACATACCTAGGCTGAAGGTAGAACCGCAAATGCCCCCAAGGCTTGCACGGACTGGCTTTGGATACTCCCATTTTAAAATACAAGGTTTTAATGAACAGTGTCTCTAACAAATTGTAAAGCTAATGCTACATTTGTCACATGCCCACAGCATGTACAGATATTTACAACATCGAACTAGTAACTATTTTAAAAATCTGAATGTGCACTCTCTTTCAAAATGGTACACTTGTAAGTTTTTTAAGCCTACATTATTTTGAAATTCAAGCAGGCGGCTCATGAAAAAAAGTTCAGATAAACTAGGGGCACTTTGACATTTTCAGATCCTGATTCCCATTGCCATAAAGAGAAAATTTTCTGCAATATTACAGGTTGCTCTGTAGAGTTACTCAAAAATATTTGGAAAAATCCAGTCAATTCTCATCAGGCTTATAAGTATTTCCCATAATAGTCTCTACATGAAAATAAACATGGAAGAAAAATGCAGTAAAAACTAAGTGCATTAAAGCTGCTCTTTCTTACTGTAACAAGTAGACTGCACTTATCCTTGGCTATAAAGGTATAGATCCAAGTACCTAAATTAGTCATGATTGTTTAAACAATGTAAAACTGGAATATGCACACGGTGCCATGTAGGAATGTATTAAAAATACTATTCCGGCCAACACAGCACGGCTCCTGACGGTACAAAGGGACTTGCCTGGGGTCCTTCTGAATGCTGTCGATGGACGGCGACCGTGTGGTGCCGTCGTCGGCGGGCGCGGCGTGCTGCAGCCGGGCGTAGCCAGACTCGGAGAGTCGATACTGCACTGACCGGTACGGCTCTGCGTAGGTGGCTGCGGTGTTCAGCGCGTAATTATTTCTTTGGTATGTGAGTGTGCTACGCTGACTGGACGATCTCTGCAGATTTCCAACTCCTAAGATAAAACCAGAATTAAAACACACCAGGTAACAGATGAAGCGAAGGGGCAATACACAGTTAAAGGTGTAAACAACAACAACAAAAACACCAGTCTTGGAGACGAGTCGTGCTCAACACGGAGATCTAAGGGAGCAATTCCTCAGTGTCCCGGGGAGGACGGAGAGGCTGCAGAACTTAAGGTTTGGTGGAATCAGGGGAAAGCCTCAGCTTGCCTCAATAAGTATTCAAAGAAAGAAATGCATCTTGTGCCATCAAGCAGAAATCAGAAGGTAAAACGTTTTCAAGGTCTGTGGTAAAATTCAATTACTAACATTGACATCAACTTGCCGACTGTACTAAAAAAGGAAAAATAAGTGGAGAAAAATTTATGTCATTTGTATGATAATTTTCTTTTCCCAACTACATGTACGTTTTCCCTGACAAAAAGCTAACAAGGGGATGATTTCAAAGATTAAGCAGATCTATTCAAGCCCAAGAACATGTGTCTTCCTGACTTACCAGAGCTGTGGTGGTAGCTTTTGTTCTTCCAACACAACTTGTATTAGGTAGACAAGTAAACAGAGAATGCCAATTTCTAGTCATACTTTCTCAGTGGCTCATCCTAACAAACTTAACTTGTTTACTCCAGGTTGTAGAAGACTGAATAATCACAAAAACTATTGCCTCTTTCAACATTCCATACTCTTAGTATTTCAGTTATGTTAAAAACATTTGAAAACTGCTTTTTAATATATGAAAACATGAAATGAACACTTCCCTACAAATATTTCGAGAGAGCTACTTTGTGAAATCCTTCCAAGATTTTTAGAGTTTTTGGAAATTACTCCACTACACAAATAATTAATCAACCTTAAAGAACAAACTGCACTGCAACATGCATTATATTTCCCTTTACAGAAAATCAGTTCTAACGCTAACCTAATGCCTATGCACTTCATAATGCATGAGTAGTCATTCTATGAAATACCGTAGAAATATTTCATTTTCAATACACAAGCTTCAGATAGCGTATTTGAATATTATCCTTTGCTGAGAAGCTGGGTAAACCCAGTATTTTTACTGTGAAAGATGTGCCAGGTAATTTAAGTGTGCAAGCTGTCATTTTACCGTACTGACGAATAAAAAAAAATATGAGCAAACTCACTTTCCAAGAGAACGACACACTGAGGATGCAAGAGGAAGCAATGAATTTTTTGTGTCATGAAACATGCTTTTGCTTGGATGCACGTGAGTGTGTGATATCCAACAGAAAATATCCTGACCCTAAGCTGACACTGATATACAGCCCCAAGTATTTCTCACAAACACCACAAAAGCTTTCTAAAAAACCTGCTGGTTATTTTAAGTCCTTCAAACCTAGTTTCTACCTCCATTAATTTATAACGCCCAGTTTTTCCTTTCCAAGTGGTGTTACACATCTCAGATATGTTCTCTTACAGGCCCCAGGCCTCAGGAAGGCTCCGGCCAGGAGCTGAAGGCTGAAGGAAGAGCTTCGGCACCTTCACCCACCTGAGCCCACCCGGTACAATGCCGACTGCGAGCCCTGATGGAGCTCGACCGCGCCGTGGTTGGGGCTGCGGTACACGGGGCTGTAGTAGGCTCTGCCTTCGTAGATGGGCGTGATGTGCAAGTCAGGAGAGACAGTCGACCGCAGCTCTTGTCCCAGCTGGCTGTGCTGGCTGGCATAGGAACTCCTCAGGCCTAAAACCAAGAAGAGGGAAATACGTACAAGGCCCGTGTCGATTACAAATACTAAAGCTGTCACATTTGAATCTTTCTTCTTTCAGCCAAGAAAAGGTGTTACTTATGTCCACACTTATAAAGACCTATTCACTAAACCTTCTTCCATTATTAAATGATTCATGCCAAAAGATTCACTGACCAAGCAACATTTCTTTGCTGAAGAGTTCTGTCCATACACTGACAACTTTAAATTTTCCAACTTTTTTTTTTTTTTTGGCAGCATTTACAGTTGAAACTCTAAGAGATACGGAATCAAAGCTAAGTCAGCACGTGCAGTTCACAGATTCAGCAGTGATGAGCCAACTTGTGAACCTGACAGAAATCCAGTTGTGAAATAGGGCTCAGCCTAAAGGAGGTCATAATCCTGGAAACAAAACAATAAGTAGCAGTAAGAGGAAAGAACTTCTTGGCAGAGATTTAAGCATGTCTTTAGAAAGGTTTAAATAGCCCACGATATGTGTGTGTGTATACATATACACACGGCTATGCTGCAGCTGTATGAGAATCTCCTTTTGTTCATCTTGCCTTTCAGCTGTCCCTCGAGTTCCCTTTAACTTCTGTCTCATTTAACTGAAATTTCTCAGCAGTGAACCTCCTGCCACCCCCTTCCAGCGCTAGACCCAAGCACGTCCCTGGCAGAGGTGCAGAGCCGCAGCTGGCTACCGGCATTGTGACCAGCGCTGCCCAAGTGCAGACCTGCTGCTCCTCCTCAGGGTTGCCCCTCCATCTGCTCCACGAAAGCTTCACTCGCGCTGCCCAGAATCTCCTCCCGTGCATTCCAGTGTGTCACTGGCTGGCTGTAACCCACACACCTTTCCCCTGACTGCTTTACCAGCTGAATGAGCAACCGATGGCCCACGAAGCTCACTGATTAGGAGGTTGGTGGGACACTCTTAATCCTCTATTTCTTCTCTTTTGGCCCAGGAACGTTTCTGACACACAGCATCACCCCTCCCCTCAATGACCTGAAGCTTCCATACACTTTGCTTCCTCCTGCTGGTGTTTAGTAACAAGCTACCCTCCACCAACTTTCTCATCTATTTTTAAAGCATCCTCATTCCCATAATTTTAAGTTACAGTTTCAGAGTCTGCAGAGAAGCACTAACATACTGAACCAGGCAGTGGAAAAATAGATTTCTGTTAGTTTTGAGGTTTTTACCACTTCCTACCCGAGTTCTGTCACTTCTGTGCTGCTCTTAGAACTGAGGGTACAGAGCTTTTGCAGCTAACGGGATGCATGACCTGAAGGAAAAGCTCTTCTGCACTCACCTGTTTCTCCCCTGCCCCTGCTCTCAGAAAAACTCTTTCTGAAGCATTTCAGCATTGCTGTATTTCCACACTCCTCTCTCATCTCCCACACTTCTGTATCACCTGTTTCACTGCCTTACACACTCCCAGCTGACGTGCTAAACAAGCCTCAGACGCTCATACTTAATAAAATACAAGCCATCTTTAATATTCAAACTTGATTTAGTTACATATTGCATAACTGCTAGGTAATACTTTTGCCACCTCCACCAACTTGGGTTTTGAATATTACACTATCAGGAAAATCCTCCTTAATTTTGAAAAGCTTTTATTTTGAATGTCTGTATTCCAGTCTTGAATTTTCACTTCCTTTGAAACAATTACACAATACTTCTCCTTTTGCCTCCAAGATTTACTTTGCCCTGGGGTCCCCTTCCACTCTCTGACTTTTCTTCATTGCATCTTGCAATGGCCTAATCTCCCCTTTGAACTCCCTTTTGAACTCACTCCAGTTCCTTCTGCTCTTGGTATTCTTCCTTTATTCTGTGATTTCACCAGTTTTGTTCTTTTAATAAATCCTTCAAAGATGACCAACTATACTTGTGATCATACTACTGTAAATCAGTGTGACACTCACATACATCCCACTGGGTCTCACACCAGCATTCCTCATGCTTCCCCCTTCCTAATTTTTTCAATCTTACAACATAATACATTGTCACCTTTCTTGCCAACAACTACATGCACGTTTTATCTACAAAGTTTATTCACTACACAAAAGAAATCATGTTAACAGAGTTAGACAAAACTTAGCAAACAGGTATGTAACATACGGCTGCTATAGCCAAGGCAAACACATTTTAAGTTTAGTCATTCACAAATTAAAGTAGAGCACAAAATCAGCACAATTTTTGGTTTTAGAAGGTATTTTTAAAACTATTTTATAAAATTAACACTGTTTTGTCCCCTTTGGCATTGCTACTGCAGGCACTAAAGCCTTGCCAGCTATCAAAGCAATAGCATGTGCTAAGTGAACTATGCACATGTAATGACAGAGACCATAGAACAACTTCGAAATACAATTAACTGGTGATGTGTAACCAAACGCATCCTGCATTTGAATATTTCCCCCCTCCACCTGCTCTATCACAGTGCCTGGGAGGGAACCTTTGAGGATTCCACACGTCATCACTGAGAAAATGCATGGCAAGCACAGGTGCTACCTTTTAGGGCTTTATTTTAAGCTACCATTGCAATGGTTACCCTATTTTTAAGTTGAAGTGCTTTGAGACAGCCTAGAATTATTAGGGGAAAAAAAGTCTAAAATTCAGTGATACCAAGCTGCATATTTTAAGAAAGAATTAGACATGAAACTAGTTCTAGTCTAGTATCTTTTTGCATATAACCTGCACATACATTTAAATGTATGTTATCTTCAAAAATACTGAAATGGCTGTTCGGAAGACTCAGAATTTCACTTAGCTACTCGAAACGTGATTTAATTCAATGTGTGGCTAGCAATCTCATAATCAAAGAGAAAGACAGTGTTCACAGGGAACTTCAGGTATGATTGATACAGAGCACTTGGCATCAGGCTTTACAACTGGTTGGATACATCCGCCACAGTTACGCACGAGTGCTGCAATATTTCAGCCATCAAGCGACTGTTGCACGAGGGAGCTCCTACAGCTGTAGGTTTGTACCGAGCGTTAAGCAGTGTCTTTACCTTTTTACTAACCTGTAAGGCTGTCTGGACGTGGAGGGACCATTCTCTCGTATATCTCGTACTGCTGCCCATACTGCTCGATATCATGAATAGTTCTTTGCAGCGTCGTTCCCAAATGCTGTGGCACCGCGGTCATGCCGGAACGCTTCGGGGAGGAAGACCCCAGTTGAGTCTGGGATGGAGAAGCAACTCTGGTTTGCGCGTCGGCCAGGGCGAGGGGGGAGCCGACGTGGACCGAAGTCTGGTACTGGGGAGCGGCGCCGTTGGGGTTGGCCGCCGGCCTGGCGCTGCCC